TAATATAGAAACAAAGTTCAAAGAAAAAAAATTGGCAAATGTTCCCAGGCCCTACAATCTCTTCTTTTATTATAAAGGCTAGAGAGAAGATGGGATAGAAATTCTTGTTCCCTTATTAGTTTCCCCATCTTTTCAATAGACAATGTCTCTAAAAAATGTTTGATATTTTATAGCTGACTCTATGACCAAACCATAAAATGGAGTATCCTGATTCTAGAAGACTCCTTTTGAAAATCTCTTGAAATCTTTGCAGAGTTCTCTAAACATGACCAGGGTGCCTATCATGAATAGGAGTCAATGTTTTGAAACAAAATGGTTAATATACATGAACTAACCTCAACCTCAAGTCTTTAAATCTAACAACATTCACTATCCCAGCCTTTTGATCGAATCGTCCCTACAGAGACTTCTTTTGGAAGCTCATTGAATGGATGGTCTTCCTGTATCGGTAAAGTCAGATCTTCACTGACCAATGACACCATTGCTTGGTGTGATTGCCATCTGAGACTTCTCCTGATTGTGCTCCAAGTTTTGAGTTGAGTCCTTTCTCTTACTTGGTCTCATTCTTTCTAGAAATGATCATTCTAGGTGCAAGATATTTTAACTTCTGTATTAATGCTTTTGCTTGGCTGAGCTAAGAAGCCTAAATCTTCTTCAGGGGTAAGAACAAGTAGCAGTGGCCAGAGAAGTTGGGTGTCCAATTGTTTTGGTCATGGCTGTTAAATCAACAGTGATGAATTCTGGCAGAGGCCAGGGAAAATAGTCATGAACTGGGTTACCTAGGTCCCAGCTTTGGTTCAACCACTACATTAACAAATATCAAAAGCTTTTTTTTTTTTTTTTTAAAAAGTCATGTGTCCTTTTTTGGGCTTTATTCCTTTCATGTGTAAAATGTGAAAACTGGACAAGAGGATTGATAGCGTTCCACAACAGTGATTCTTGACTTTGGCTCCACATTGGATTCACCTGGGGAGCTTTTAAAATCCCCATTGGTCTGGCTACATCCAGAATGTCTGGCGACAAAACCTAGGCATCAGTGCTTTCGAAACTCCTCAGATTGTTCCAATTTGTACCCACTGCTCTGTAGACCTTAAAGCCTGAATTTTATACCCATATCTTTGTTCTTAAAAAAGTAACTGATAATGAGAGCTGGGTGTGGTGATACATGCCTGTAATCCCAGCAGCTCAGGAGGCTAAGGCAGGAGGATGGTGAATTCAAAGCCAGCCTCAGCAACGGCCAGGCATCAAGCAACTCAGTGAGACCCTGCCTCTAAATAAAATACAAAATAGGGCTGGGGATGTGGCTCAGTGGTTAAGTGTTCCCAAGTTCAATCTCCAGTACAAAAAATAATAGTAACTGAGAATGTAGGAGGAATATACTTTCCAATTACTAAACATGACAGGATAAAGAAGTAAATAATTTGGAGATTACATCCTTATCTTGGGCATTAAAATCCTTTGCTTGTGAAAGTGTGAGAAATCAACCACCCTCTATTCAAGGTTTTGGATCCTTTGCATCCAGCACTCTGGAAAAGCAGTGACCTCAGGAGCTACAGTCCCGCCTCTGATCTCCCTGGTGGAAAGTGTCATCAGTATCACTACCCATGTCCTTCATAATGTGGGTTTTCTGTTGTCTCAATGCTAAGCTCTCTATTTTCTCATTTATTTGTTTATTTTTAATTGGTGCTTTATAGATTTGCATAAAGGTGGAATTCACTGTGGTATATTTATATGTGCACATAACGTAATTTTGTCAAATTCATTCCATATTTCCTCCTCTTTCCATCCCTCCTCCCTCTCCCTCCTCTTCAATCTTCTTCTTTCTTTTTCTTTTTTTTTTAGTTGTGGATGGACACAATATATTTATTTATTTATTTATTTATTTATATGTGGTGCTGATTGAGCCCAGTGCCTCACACGCGCCAGGCAAGTCTCTACCACTGAGTTACAACACAACCCCAGCCCTCAATCATCATCTTCTCCACTGATTTTCCCTCTATCCTTATGATACGTTGTGTTCCCTTTACTTTGCTCTAGCTTCCACATATGAGAGAAAATATTCAACCCTGGATTTTCTGAGACTGGCTTATTTCACTTAGCCAGATATTCTCCAGTTCTATCCATTTACCAGCAAACATCATAATTTCTTTTTCCCCCCCAACTTTTTAAAAATTGTGTTCTTTTTAGATATACATGTATTTTGACATATTATACATATATGGGGTATAACTTATTCTAATTAGGATCCCATTCTTGTGATTATACATGATGTGGCATTTCACTGACCATGCATTCATATATGAACATAGAAAAGGAATGTCTAACTCATTCTACTGCCTTTACTATTCCCCCTCCCCTCCCCGCTTCATTCCCCTTTGTCCAATCTAATGAAATTCTATTCTTCCTTCCCCCTACTTATTGTGTGTTAGTATTGCATATCAGAGAGAACATTTGGCCTTTGGTTTTTTGGGATTGGCTTATTTCACTTAGCATGATAGACTCCAGTTTCATCCATTTACCAGCAAATGCCATAATTTCATTCTTTGTTTTGGCTGAGTAATATTCCATTGTGTGTGTGTGTGTGTGTGTGTGTGTATGTATGTGTGTGTATATATATATATATGTATATATATACATATATATATACATCTCACAATTTCTTAATCCAGTAATCTATTGGTGGGAAACTGGACTGGTCCCATATCTTGACTATTGTGAATTGCAGTGCTATAAACATTGATGTAGCTGTATCAGTATAGTTTACTGATTTTAGTTATTTTGGATAAATACAAAGGAGTGCGATAGCTGGGTCTCTTGATGCCCCATGCATCTAGAATAGTATGTCAGTCTTTTAAAATTTTTAAACCCTTAGTATCTACAAATTATTTTAATAATTAAGAGGTCCCAATACTCCATAAAAAATTTGGATCAGGAAAGCCATTTCCCTAAGGTTCACGGCTTTCAAGGAATAACTGAATCAAAAAGGACAATATTTGGTGAGTTTTGTATAATACTAAAATCAAATGCTAATAATTAGAAAACCATAGGGTAAGTTTAGAGAAAATCATTCCTTTCTCTTTGCCAAGCAAGAAGGCCAATGTTTTTGGATAACAAGCATTGGGTTATTATTGAGATGCATGTTTGGCATTGGGTACATTTCTCCCTATTGTACTTGGGTCCATCCTATTGCTGCCCTTGAGTGGACCCCACAGAGTGCTCTGTCCTCTGGAGGAAGGAAGCACTTTGCTCTTATCTTTGTATTGCCAGTGAACAGCACAGTGCCTGGAACATCACAAGTGTTCAATAAATATGTTGAGAAGTAAATGTAGGATTACATGAGATTAGTACAATGAAGTTAAGATAGAAAGAGGGTCTCTCCAAATCTGTAAATAAATTTGATATGTAAGTATTCATATTACTCTACAAGTCTTTTTAAAACATCCCCTATAATTATGTATTTTGAAAACAACTGAACTCAGTGAGACCCTAGTGACAACTTAATGTCAACCCTAATGACAACCCCCTGCCAGACATGAAGAGAATTACCTCTAACTCCTCCTCCTCGGATAAAGACTAATAGGAAACCCAAAAGCTTGGCAGAATGAGACTCCCCTTCAAACATAACTCAGAGAGCCTTGCCTAAGTTTAATGACTTCAGAATGTTTTACCATTTATCTTGTAAAACTGGAATCATTCTAGAACATACCACCTAACCACCAAAACACCAACCAAATCACTTAATCCGTACATTTTGTCATCCTCCTCCTCCCTCTCCCTCTCCCCTTCCTTCTCCCCTCCTCCCCTCTCCCCCCCTCCTCATTTTGTGGTACTGGGAACTGAAACCAGGAGTTTGGTACCTCTGAGCTACATCCCCAGCCCTTTAAATTTTTTTTATTATTATTTTTAAACTTGAGAGAGGGCCTCACTAAGTTACCAAGGCTGGCCTCAAACTTAGGATCCTCCTGTCTCAGCATCCCCAGGAACTGAGATTACAGGTGTGTGCTACCACACCCAGCTATAAGTATATTCTTTTCCATCCAGGGTTACCATGCATGGTTGTGCAGTTTATTTACTTCACCTTGATACTCAAAGTGTGGTCTGTGGCAGCCTCAGCATCACCTGGGAGTTTGTTAAAAATACAGAATCCCACAGTCTTCTGCAGAACTACTAAATTGGAAATTTGTATTTTAACAAGATCCCAGAAAGTTTGTATGCCTAGTAAGATTTGAAAGACACTGTACTACACAACAGATTTAGAATCAAAATTCTTTCAAATTGGGCAACGATCATTTCTGGAATACAAAACAACTATGTATAAATTGTTTAAAGGGGAAATGACAAAGGTGAGTAACAAAACACTATAAAAAATGAGCAGGTAAGTTTGGAAATAAAACCCAGAACATCTGGAACTGAAAAAAAAAATATGTGATTGATATAGAAGTAAGAAGTGTTACAAAATAAATCCAATACAAGTTCTGTTGCTTGTGGTTTCAGCTATTTCGGGCCTTATTTAAAATTTGTTAGAAAAGGAAATGTTGGATATGGGTTTTCAGTTATTTCTGAGTGAATCAAACAGAAAGTGACATCTTTCTCTAAAACATGTCAAACAGGACTAAGTGAGAAATTTCATTTTTTGAACAACTTTGGGTTCACTAAAGGCACCTTTTCTTTCATGAGCCTAGGAGATGAATATTACCTGCATGTACGTGTACACACACACATACACACACACACACACCCCTGCAGAGTAACAAGGTGACATCATGTTCCTCCATTTTATTGAGGATAAATCTCTTGGGATTTAGAATTAGAGCCAATATTAAGTGTCTATTCAACTGGCTCTTCTCAGATTCCCTAACATTATTTCCAAGTATTGGTCACACTAACTTGGGGTTGAGGGATGTTCCAATAGGACCTATCCCTCAGCAAACTGTGACCTACTGGCTAGTCCATCTGGGGGTGGAGGTGGGGGAGGGTTTTCATGGCTACCCTTGACTTACACAGCATCCAGCTTCGTCCCATTGAAAGCGTGTTCTTGGATTGAAGTAAAGCCATTGTTGTACAGTTTTCTACAATAAATATAGAGAGGAAAAATTAATAACTTATGGGAAGTTTGATGGACCTTTTCTGAATGTTTGGGCTTAATTTCTTCTGTGCCAGAAATGTGCATAAAGAGTTACAGTCTCACATATGCACCTCACAGAGAAACTTCACATTATGTCTTCCTTAGGACACAAGATAATATTTTCCAGTGTGAATATTGATTCTCGGACTCTGCTGCTAGTAAATAAGCTTTTTCTTAGAAGCAGATTCAGGTCAAAGAACAAAGGCTTGCAAAAGGATTTTTGTTTTAAATGTCCACATACACACAGGAAACAGAGTTTCAGGTAATCGTTAACCCAGTGTCAATAATGGAGGCCTAACTGCAGTTTCTTAAGATAAACACTTTGAAAGACATTCATCTAAACACATGGTTTCTCTCTCTCTCTCTCTTTTTTTCCATTCAAGATGTTATTTCCCATTTGTATTTTATCTATTTACCCTCAGAGCTCACCACAGATTAAACACTTAATGGTTGTGGGCTGAATTAAATTGAACTTCATAGACAACTATAAGAAAGTATAAAGACCAACCCATTCTATGGAAATTTTAATGTTTTCACTCATTGCCATGTTTCTACAATGGATTAATTAATACAATGATTTACAGGGGACCTGTATGCAATGTTACCACCTCCATGTCCCAGTGAAGTTACTAAGACATGGAAGTGACTTGCCAAAAACAGTAGTTTAGAACTGTCAGTAATCCTGACCTCAAATACAATTCTTTCCACCCACCCTTTCTGCAAGAGAAGGAGCCCCAGTCTTGGGAACTCTGGGATGTGTGGGCGTTACTGGTGGTTGTTGGCTTGAAGAGAAGACAGCCATGACTACAATCAGGCACAGCTGGTGGCAACTCTTAGGGACACCCCTAGGGGAACTTGGAAAATGATGGTACTCTGCCCCATGTAAACTCTGGTAATGCATTAAGAAGCACACGGGAGACTTCACATGTGGAACTAGACCTGGCTCTGTCACTTAAGAGCCGGGTGATCCTGAGAATTTCTCAACTTGTCTCATCCTCAGTTTCTATGTCTCTAAAAATAAGATGATAATTCCCGAACAAAAGGTTGCTAAGATGATCAAATCATTCTATACCTAACACAATGAGGGACACTTTTGAGATGATCACATTAAAAGGAATACCCTAAGATTTGTATTTATCTTATATAATTGTGGGGAACTGAGAAACAATCTCATGGTTTTGTTGTTTATTTTGTTTTAAATAATTACACAGTGAGTTTAATTCCAGTTACTGGGCAAAGACTATAACACATACCTCAGGGACACGTTACGGAGACTGAGAAAGTACTAATGAATAACTTTATTTTTTTCTGAACTGGAATTCTTTTACAAAATTGTGAAAATTATGCATTTTACTTCACCAAACTTCATTGAACATTCTGGACATTAAAAATATTCTTCGTTTATATTATATTACAGAGATTAAATAAAACTTCATGAACAAGTAGACATTTTTGAAAAAGGAAAAGAGGAAGGAAGGAAGGAAGGAGGGAAGGAAGGAAGAAAGGATTGTAAATTTTGCCGTACTCTGTCCTATCAGGAATACAGGCACAGACTGTACTGTTAGATGTGCCTCTTTTCATTTTTATAGTTCTTTGAGAATGGGCTTCAAAGGAGAAAGGACTTTTGCATCAATGTAGAAATGATCATACAAAAAGGTAATGGACAACCCCTGCCATTCCCACCTCTGTATTCAGGAAATATTCAGTTCCCTGCTCAGATGTTTATAAAATGGGCCTCATGCAGGGTGGGGACAGTGAGCAGCTTTCATTTGAGAGGGCTGCTTGGGATATGAGGTCCTTAGGAAATAGTTGTCTAAAAGGGAGAGTAACAACATTCTGTAAAGAAGTTGAGAATGATAGAGTTTTAACTCGCGATGTGATGGGCCCTAAATCATACAATGGAAACCCTCACAAAGAAGGAAAGCTGTGTTGAGGTTTGGGGCTGAGCAGGACAAGAGCCCAGGTCTTTTCTGTTCTGTCAAAAGAAATCATAACTGAAGAGGAATCTTGTCTTTTCAAAAGTCTTCTTCCCTGGAGTGTGAGGAGAAGGATTAGCTGAAAGGCTCCATTGTGCACAAATTTCCAACAGTGGAGATAGTTCATAGATCCCAAATTGATCAATTTGAATGGTTTGGAAAAAAGCCCCTTAGAAAGTTGTGAGGAGGCTTGGATAAGTTTTTATGGGGAGCATTTGAATCTGATTTGTATTTGACAGAGCACTAGAGACCGTAGCATGAGCAGAAACAGGGAGATTGGGTGACAATTTGGGCAAAAACTCCACACCAGGCCTGAACATGGGCAGTGGCATTGAAAATAGAAGGGATCTGCAGAGGTGGTCTCAGCTCTACTTTCTGGCTAATACAAAGAGAATTAACTTATCTTTTATACCTCTATTAGATCTTCTCCTTTTAGAGCCATTCTGTGACTATCCCAGATTAAGCATCTGCTTTTGAACAGCTACAGAGAAGAATCCATTCAAGCTCTGGTCAAAGAATGATGTATAGCATCACCTACGGGAGCTTAATAAGTTTGCCACTACTGAGTAAGAGTGTGACTGCAGAGCTTATCACCACTCTCATACTCAGTGACCTAGGGAAAGTCACTTAAATTTGCTCTACAGCAAATTCAAATCTGTCAAATAGGGATACTTGAATACAGAATACAATGCCACTGCAGGCTTAATCTAGTCCACTATCTCTTTCTGGAAATAAAATTTTAGTGGAACACAGGCAGAGTTGAGGCCATGTAATCTGTAAAGCCTAATTGATCCTTCCCAGAAAAAAGAAAGAAAGAAAAAAAAACCAAACAAAGAAAACCAACCACTGCTATAAGGAAATACTTTTGTTTTATTTTCTAAACCTGTTTGGAAATAATAATCTACAGTGTACCATGGCACAAGGCAATATGCTTATTTAATTACATGAAACTCTTTGTAGAATATAAACATTACAGGGTATTATGGCTCTGAGTGGTCTATAAAATTATGACAGTGGCCCAGAACAATATTCAATTGTTGGCAAGAGTGAAACTGGCAATACTCACAGTGTTAAGGTTTCATTGCACAGTCCCTGAAATGCATTTACAGGGATTGAAGTCATGTAAGGGTTGTCCATAATTTCACTGAAAGAGAGGGACAAGAACACTTGAAAAAAAAATGCTTTCTTCCTGGAAATGGACTTTTGTTATACATATGCAGATTAAATAAGCTCACAGCTTAGTCTTATTTACTGTTTTTTAAAAAAAATTTTAGATGTTGATGGGTCTTTATTTTATTTATTTATATGTGGTGCCGAGAATCAAACACAGTGCCTCATACATGCTAGGCAAGTGCTCTACCACTAAGCCACAACCCAAACGCCTACTGTTAAGTTTTATTGACCCTTTTCAACCTCTGGTGGCTCAGAGATCAGGTGGTTAAGAGCTGTCTGAGAAGGACATGAATTCAGAACCCTGGGTGTGTAGTGAGCAAGCAAGCTTCGGTAAGAGCTGAGGTCCCCAATTTACTTATCTCAAAGGAAGCAAACGGATTTCACAAACCTCTCCTGAACTTGCAGCATTTGTCCAGAGCCACTAGAATCTTCCATGGGAGAAAGGAATCCATGGATTTTGTTTCATGACTATTGCTAAAATGTCCTCTTACTTGAAAAGCTCTGCCAGGCAGATATTCTGGAAAAACTTTCTACACTTGTCTAGTTTCTAGAAGATAGCTGAGCTTTTCTGCAGCAAAGAAGTATGGCCAATTTTTTTTTCCTAGAAAACCCCAAGAGTTTGGATATTATCACTCCACATTTTGCTGATTCTGTAGTCAAACTCAACTTGTGTAATTCCCTCTGCATGTGTCTTTTTACTTCTATACAATTAGGTAAGATGATATGTTACAGGTTTTGGAAAAGAACACAAGTAGTCTGAGCATCATTTCTGACTGCTCCATGGGAGCAAGTCAGGCAAAAATCACTTATGTTTTTTCTTCCTCAGTTTCTTCATTTGTCAAATAGAAAAATCATAACTTCATTTTATGCCGTATCAGGTGGTTGAGCGAAGCAAATGTAATGCATGGGAAAGTGTTTGAAAACCTGTTTAAAACACTATGAAAAATAAAGTATCATTGTGATCATTAATTTTTCCTTCTATTCAATCATTCCCATTGGCAAACATTCTATAATATTTTTCTCACGTCTCAAATAAAATCTCTTCAACCAATATGGTTCAACTAGCGGGACATCTATGTTCCCTTTAATAATAAAAGTTCTCAAGAGTTTGTGATCATCACTCTAATTCAACCCCTCGCATCCTCTCTTGTACGTTGGCCCAGAAGAAGCTCCCACTGACTTTCCTGCTCCCGTCACTTCACAAGAACTATTCATGTCAGAGTCACCGCTGACCCACATCACTGAACCCCATGGCCGTTTTTCAATCCTTCCTTGCTGCTTCTACCAGTGTAGTCACAATTGATCCCCGTTTCCTCCTTGACACAATTACTTCACTTGGGTTTGAACCCCCCCATGGCTGCACCCTAGTTCTTGACAATGATAAAAATATGACACATCATGTTGTATATACTTACAGTATAAAGAATACATCGGTGGAATGAACTTTGGTCAGGTCAGGGAATATTCTAAGTCCGGTGTTGAAAATGCCACTAAATTACATGAAAGAAGAAAAAGATTTTAGGTTTCAAAAAAATTAACACAGAAGTAGAATAATGTCAGTTTGTAGCCAAATCTTAACTCTTCTGCTTACTATCTGAGTGATTATTGGTAAGTTCTAGCCATGAGATGATATTTGCTCAAGACACAGTAATCTAATCAGTGTCAATACATCTATTCTGCTTAGAATACTCCAGGCATTGTTTGGACCCAGTGGGATTCCTAGAAATAGAAATTCAGGTTTCTTTCCTGTGTGTGTGTGTGTGTGTGTGGAGAGAGAGAGAGAGAGAGAGAGAGAGAGAGAGAGAGAGAGAGATCTCCTTATTTTGATTGGAAGATATTATGTGTATGTATATTATGGGGGGATAAGAGTAAGATAGAAGAGGAACACAGGATTACCCAACACCAAGTCAGTCTTCCTCTTTCAAATTCGATGTTTTATTGCATTATTATTTTGCTAAGAATGATTTTCCTGGGCTGGGGTTGTAGCTCAGTGGTAGAGCCCTTGCCTTGTATGTGTGAGGTCCTGGGTTCGATCCTCAGCACCACATAAAAATTAATAAATAAAAATAAAGATTGTATCCATCTACAACTAAAAAATATATTTAAAAAAGAATGATTTTCCTACAGCAATAACCTGGGAGTACATTTGCACTAGAACTGTTTTTAAAATGTCCAGAAAATAAAGGAAATTTTCGAAGACAATGTCTTCCCCTTCCAAAGTTTGTGTCACCTAGGAAAAAATGTCAGGATTAAAAGACATGCTTAAAACAACATGAGCACGAAAGCTCTCAGGTTCCTGATGCCACCCAGACTTAGTTGGGTTTAAGGTTTATTGCAGTTACTAGAATGTAATTAGTGGAAGTAGAAATGTTTTTTGTGAGATTTGGGGGATGTGGTGAGTCCTAGACACTACCCAGTAGATCTTTATAGAAGGTCTGGTAGAAAACCAAACAACTAGTTTCACTGATGCACCTTTTTTTGTTTTAATATTTATTTATTTTTAAAGCTTTAGGTGGACACAATATCTTTATTTTATGTGGTGCTGAGGATCAAACTCAGTGCCTCATGCATGCTAGGTGAGCACTCTACCACTGAGCCACAACCCCAGCCCTCACTGATGCACCTTGAAAAGGAAATTCAGACTCAACTCCTTCTCTAGTGGAAGGCATAGAATTTGAAGAGGTGGTAGGAACCAGAGAACTCAAAATGAGCAAATGGAAGATTCCAAAGAAGAAAAATGATATCCCATGAGGTGATGAGGTGTATTTGAAGTACAGTAAACCAACTAGCTCAATTGCAATGGGGGTTCATGTAAAAGAATGGGGCGGGGGTGGGGGGGAAATGGCCAAAGATTCAGATGGAGGCCACAAAGCAGAGGGCTGGAAATGCCAGATTAAAAGAAACTTCTGACTTTTCTCCAAAACCCTGAACAAGTCCTCCTTTAAAAGGAGGACTCTGTGCCTTTATCATGCTGCTACATCATCTACTCTTCCTTCTTTTCCTGGATAACTTCTATTCATCCTTAAAGATTTCTCTCATAAAATATCTGTGGGTGTACACTTTAATTTCAAAAGCCTGGATGGAAATGAACTGAAATGGTAATAGTGTGTATATCTGGGCTTAGGGTTTAGTCCCTTTTAGAGATTTTCTAATTTTTATAACGCATATAAGCAGGAAAGAAGCTTCTTCTAGCCAGTTTCTAGAGGGCCTAAGCTCATGAATACAAATCCACTGAATGCATTTTTTTTTATTGAGCACCTACTCTGTGCTAGGCAATAAGGATACAACTGAGAACAAAAATGTTGTGGTCTCTGCCCTCATGGAGCTTACAGTCAGCTCAGAATGGATTGTCAAAGCAAAGCAGTAAGTGGTTGTCCCTTTCCATTTCATTTTTGTCCCCTAACCTCAAGAGACTAAATTTTATCCTCTGTGACTTTGTGTGTGTGTTCTATGTAGCAGCCAGTCTAATATTGTTTCAATATCCTTTTCTAAACAAAATTGACCATTTTTCTCTTAGGAATTTGTTTTGCCCTGTGATACTATATGTAAAGGTTACATATATGTAACAGCATTCACTCCCTCACATCTCTTGGATCAGGTCTCTGGTCCCAGCACTATGCACTGATTCTTCCAGTGGGTTTTAAACATGTGAATCACTTCACCTGAGACCTTGCCTAATGAGAAGGGGTGGGAAGAAAGTCACAAGAAACAATTCAACCCAAACCATACATTATGAAAATGACCTCATAGTATAAAATCCTAGGGAGATTCCCAGAAGACAATAGCATTAAAATTCTAAAAAAAAAGTGAAAAGAAGGGAGTTAGGACTTACAGGAACTTGAGGAGGGGGAGCTCTCTCAGGGCATCAGGGTCTATGAAAGTTAAGCTTCTGGTGTTTCGAATTTCTCTGTAAAAGTTACAAGGAAAACAGTCACCGTATACATTTACTTCTGCTTTTACCAAAGAGAAAACAACATAAATCAGCTTTAACAAATGTCCATAAGAAGAATATGCATCTATTTGGTGGTTCAAGGACTATTGATCTCAGAAATTAGTCCCATCACCATCACTCCACTCCAGGCTCTCACAGGGACACAAAGGCTGTTTAGTCCTTTTGCTTCATGGACTTGATCTCCATCTGTTTGCACTTATGGACTACCTTTCTCTCAATTGTAGTATCTGAGGGTGTAAGTGGTTAACTTGAATTGTCAACTTCATTGGATTAAGAGATGCTGATGATTAAGAGGCTTCTGGGTGTGTCAGTGAGGGTGTGTCTAGGAATGATTGACATGTATGATAGCAAACCAAAGCAGAGACCCTCCCTAAGCAGGGGCAGCACCATCCAATAGGATGGTGGATTGGATGAAATAAAAGTTGCAAGAACAAGGAAGCAGCAGCAAATACAAGCTTGATTCTTCTTGAATGGGTTTTTGATTGCTGCTGTGATCGGCTGAGGGTATCTGACTCTCTCTTCTTCACTCTTCCAAAGTGGACTCTGCCAGTGATTCCTCAAGAAGCCTTCAGTTTCCGACTACTGTAGCACCTTTAATCCTTCTTGTTCTGAGGCTTCAACCTCTTGGATTCCGGAGCTACTGGTTCCTCCAGCTCTCCAGCCTGCGGATGGCCATTGTGGACTATCCAGCTTCTGGTCACGTAAGCCAGCCTGATAAGTCCCCTTTTTATAATCATACTTCCTGTTGATTCTGTTCCTCTAGAGAACTCTGACTACTACAGAGGGATTTTTTACAAAATATATATTTAGATAGAAAAGAAAAACCTCTCCAATGGTTTGGTGAGAAGCTGAGGACAAACATCTATCTGATTAACAGTAGCCAGAATCCTGGCCAAGGTGATGAACACTAAAGGGAGAGGCCGGGTGAATTTCACGATGGATGGAGCCCTGTAACAAGGGCAGTCAGGTTCTGTCGATTGGTATGTCAGACGTAAGGTACGCAGTGAGCCTAAGCAGTTCACTTGGGTTTATTTTGTGATGTGAGTATTTTAAGACTCTCCAGGATGTATGTTGTGCTGTTTTATTTGTCTGTAATTTACATGCTTAGATTTATACGTATGTGTATATACATACATATATGCTGATCAAGAACACAGCATCAATGAAATAAGCAACTCACTAACCAATAAGTTAGAAATGGGTTGTCACTAGTAAAATTAAACATATTCAACATATGTGGACTGGTTAAAAGAGCTTAAAGATACTTTCTATGCTTATAGGAAAATACATAAAAATTCAGTAAAACCTGTAGCCTTTCTCCTTTTGGGTTGGCTCTTGGGGCTTGATTCTTTTTTAAAAAAAAATGTATTAGTGCATTATAGTTATACATAATAGTGGGGTTCATTCTGATATATTCATGATATGTCCACAAATGCATGTAACATTTTCTCCACTTCAATCCTGGGGCTTGGTTCCTAAAGAGACCTATATCTAGTCATTGAGGGTACCAATCAGAAAACATAGAATCTGACCTGTGCCATTTTAAAAGCAGTTTTATTGAAGAAAAACTTTTCCATAACATTCATGCACTGTAGGTACACAGTTTAATAATTTTTAATTAATTTACAGAATTGTGTAACCATCACCACAATCCAGTAAAACATTTCTTTCAATGACAAAACTAACCATTTTCATTCCCTCCCTCATGCCTAGAAACCGCTAGCTGTTTTCTCTCTCTCTCAATTTGCTTTATCTGGACATTTCCTATATGTAGAATCATCTCATAGGTAGTCTTTTCTGTTTTCCTTTTTTCATTTAGATGATGTCTATGAGGTTCATCCATGTTGTAACAAATACCTGAAGTATCCCCCTTTTACTGAGTCAAATGGGTCAAATGGATCTGAGCTAGAAACTTGGCTTTGTCACTTCTGACTGCATGAATTTGGACAAGGTTCTTGCCTTCTTTTAGCCTGTTTCCTCTGTAAAACAGGGTTGATAAGCAGGGCACTGTGGTGCATGCCTATAATCCCAGTGACTTGAGACTCTAAGGCAGGAGGATCACAAGTTCAAGGCCAACCTCACCAATTTAGCAACCCACTCTCTCAAAATAAAAAGTGAAAAGAACTGAGGATGTAACTCAGTGGTAAAGAGCCCCTGAGTTCAATTTCCAGTATCCCCCTCCCTCAAAAATTTTTAAAGTAAAGGATAATAACATAATAGCAACACCTCCTTCTTCAAAGAGCTCTTATGAGGATTAAATAATATCTGTAAAAGGTTGGCTACGTAGTTTTCCTACAGGTTAAGTCTTCTGTAAATAATGGTCTTCTCATTATTTTAACAAGTATAATAAAAGCTAGAACACACAAGTCTTGTCATAAAAGTGCTGTAATGTTCTAGCAAAAAAAAAAAAAAATTAAATACCCTGCTAGGTTAGGTATTTCAACTAAGGACATTGAATATGAAACAGACCTTGGGAAAGAAGATGAAATTAACTCTGAGAAAAGAAAACATCTACTCCCCCTCCTCCCTATACACATAGCTTACTGTCTATAGTAATATAACCTTACTGGCTCATTTTCTTAATTATCATAACTTTATTGTTCAATATAGGAACTTCTTAAAAGAAAGACTCATCAGTGTTTCAACCAAAAGAATCAACCATTTGCTTCCCAAGACTCTGGGAACCCCCTACTTCAAAATCCTCACCTTGCTGTGTCCCGACTAGTCCTAAATTATTAAATCACCATTTCCCTAACCAAGACTCTGCATGGAAAGATTCTCCTTAAGCCAATCTTTAAATTTTGAACTAATTTTAAAACTGAAAGTCCTCTGTCCTGGACAAACTGGAACCATTGGCTACCCTACTCCAAAATCTCATAATGATCCTGCCTTGCCCTCCAGAGACTATCAGTCTCCGCAGATGTAATTCTCTCTTTTTTTCAAGGTGAGCCATAAACTTTTTACCAGAACTTTCCATTTGGGGAGGAGGCTTCCAGCTGCTGTTAGAGACAAACAGATGTAAAATAGGAGAGATTGGAAATTGAGTGTGTTTTACAGTCTGGAAAATTGCTTGATGAGAGATCATTTTGAGCAGGTGGACTTGAGTGGCCTAAAAGTATGTCCACAATGGAAGGAAATGCGCCCACAGGAGTCGGATTCTAAGGCAGTGAATGAAAAGGAATCAAAACGTTGCTGTTCTAACTGTTGATTCAATGACGCTGGGAAGTTACATGGGACCTGGAAGAGAAGAAGGGAGTGGAAGAGGTCTCGAGGAGAGGGTAGAGACACAAAAGAGATGGATTTCTGGGGGAGGGGAGGACAGTATAAGAGGAAAGAAAGAATAATGAACAAAATACCCAAGCAGGGAAAAGAAATTGCTTTTTGAAGGAAGCAGCCATCAGCTCAACACTTGCTCACAAGTGGCTTAAAAATCTCTCCAGGAGCACAGAAGCATGGAGTGGACATAGATTGCCAGGAGTTCAGCTAAATGGAGAAAGATAACAAATGCAGGCAGTACTATCCTTTCAAAGACAGAAAGAAAGAAGGGCTCAAAGCAAGTTAAAAAGAAAAAAAGAAAAACAACTCCAGCTAGAGAAGGGTGAAAGAGCAGTCCAAATTTGAATGTGTTCCTAGCATACCTGACAGCATGAATTTGTGCCTTGCAATTTCAAGTTAAGCAATTATGGCCCAAGGACGGAGGAGGCTAGCTATATATATATATTCAGCAGAGCAAGGTGAATTCGATCGAGAGCTGAAAATATAGAGCACACTGCTAATAATGGTCGATTCTGGTACATGGGTTTGGAGGCAAAAAATATGCAATTTTTATTTGTTATTTTGTTCAAAAGAAAAAAAAATTAGAAGGGCATGCAAAAAACAAAAAACCCCCAAATTCCAAAATCTAAATACAGCAAGTAGTATATATTCCATATTAAAATTATCTTTGGACTATGACATGCCAGACAGACTGGTTCAGTGTGCTTTTTCTATGGAGTTGGGTTATTTATCTATGCTGGAGAAATATTTGAGGATTTTTAGATTTATTGATTTGAAAAGCTCAGGCTCAGATGATGATGATTACAGGGTTAGAAGAGACTGAGCGTGCTCCTCATCACCCAGGCTGTTGCACCAATGAGACAATGAAAGAACAGCTTTCTGTGAAGCAAGTAAAGATCATCCCTGGGCTGGGGTCATAGCTCAGTGTAGAGCACTTGCCTACCGCGAATGAGGCACTGGGTTCGATTGTCAGTACCACATATAAATAACTCAGTAAATAAAGTAAAGGTCCATTGACAACTAAATAAATAAAAAATCACCCCTATCTTTCAGAGAAACAGAAGAGTCATGCTTAGAGAGATTAAGTACCTGATCTGTCACACAGAGACAACACTGGGCCTTATCCTCAGGCTTCTAACTTCAAAGACAGTTTGTTGTTGTTGTTGTTATTTGTTTTGATTTTTGTTTTTGAGTTAATTACAAGGATATCATTTGCCAGAGTAAAAAGTATTTAAATGACATACTGCTGTTTAATTCCACTTCACTGGATTTCAAACAAAATGGACACTGAGGTGAAACGTCCAGGAGGCAGTATGATCACAAATTAACAGATCAATAACTTAGCATGTACTAGGTTTAATCATATGTCTAGGTTCTGGCTTTTTTTTTTTTTTTCTTGTTCTGAGACATACTTGCTTATTCTCAGTAAGAGCCATGAACAGAGAAATTGGCTCTGATTGTCGGAGACAGTCAGTGTTGTCCCAGGCACTTGGTCTCCAAACCTAAACCCCAAACAATATGGGGAAACAGCAGAGGGAGAAAAGGTAGTTCTAAGGTGGGAAAAGGGGGAATAAAAGGAGAGGCAATGAAGGCTTAAACTCATCTACTATTAAGGAACTCTCCAGCTCCTGACTTCCTTATTTCCTTTCCCCTCCCTTTGGACCTCAACTGTTTTTTGT